GTTACAAGCTACTAGGAAATCAGAAGGGTTTAATGAGATATAAAGAGAGTCTTGCTACAGAGCAGGTGGCTAATAAAATAAGAGGAAAAGAGTTACCAAAGCTGATCGTTCACTCATAGTAACTTTCAGTTCTCCCCATAACTAACTTAATTAATACAACAGGAAAGATTAAGATCATAGACTCTACACAGTTGTGAGAGCAACAATAAAGAGCATCATAGAAATACATTTTCTGTTACTTGAATAATGCTATTTGTGAGAATTCTTCGCACAGCTTAGAATGAGGGAAATTAGATCACAAAGTGGGAAATGAAAAGAAGTGGGACAATCCACTGCTTAACTGGGGAAGTATTGCTTTGACAGGAGACTTCAGTTTTATCATCAGTGCTTCAGAAAAAACAGTGTTTTCTAAGAAAGCAAAGTCTTCAGTAAAAATACACAAACAAGTGGCCCAGAATACCTGCTGTTCAAGAAGATTAAATGAGGAATAATGCTTCTGTGGACAAAAAAATTAACCGTAGTGTCTTACAGACTAGAACAGAGTATTTCAGTTGGAACGGACCTACAACAATCATCTACTCCAACTGCCTGACCAATTCAAGGCTGACCAAGTTAAAGCATGTTATTACAGGCCTTCTCCAAATGCCTCTTGAACACTGACAGACTTGGAGCAACGACCACCTCTCCAAGAACCCTGTTGCAGTGTTTGACCACCTGCTTGGTAAAGAAATTTCTCCTCATGTCCAGTCTAAATAAGCAAGACCATATTTGCAATCTTTGGTTATTTGACAACTTCAGTAGCATTCATTCTATAAAACCAAAATACTGTTATCAACAGTACATCAACAGTTATATCAGCTGTTATAACTAGATGATCTAAAAGAAATAAGGGAAGAATGAACTTATGCAGAAATCCTTATCACAGACATTACCTCTAGTTTCTTTTATATCGGCTCTACTGAAGCCTAAATACCAGACATTTATTTAGATGTCAGCCAAAGGCACAGACCTTTTTCAAATCAACTTCTTCCTATATCTTCCCCCAAGGGCATTTTAAACAACTTACCGACACTACAGAGAAATTACTGTCAGGTGATGAAATTTCTTCGTCGTTAGACTCATCACTTTGTTCATCTGTGTATTCTTGTCTCTGCCTTTTATTGGGTCCAGGCTTTGAAATGCTTTCTTCCTTTCTCTTACCCATGAGTACTGAAAAAAGAAAATAATGAAAGATTGGAGGTTTCAGTCTTCTAGACAAGAACATGCCTACAGATCATAACAGAACAAAATTCAAAGCAAATGCAGAAATGCAATAAACTTCCCATCTGGCATTCTTGCAATAATTTTGTATAGCAAGGATTTCAGATCAAATACTGGATTATTATTATGTCCATTAAGTAGTTACAGGGAAGATGTCATTTCCATTTTATGTTATGTAGTTTAATACTATACACATAAAAATCAAGGAGCAAATGCACTTCCTGATTAAGTTACATACCTTTGCTATGCTAGTTTCGGTTTCCTACAAAAACATGCCTTTATGCTTAAATTACTCAGACCAGGAAAGAGTTGCTTGTATGCTCTTGGAATTTATCCATCACCCAAACATGAAGACAAACATTCATTCAATCATTTCCATCGAAATCTCTCTCTAGAAAGAAGGGAAAACATACGATTTAAATGTTGCAATTATTAATGTCTGAACCAAAGATCAGAACTATGAGTTCCATCGCTGTAACATTTGGGCATTTAAAAAAAAAAAGACAGCATAAGAGTGGAAAACAAAACAAAATAATCTAGAAGAAAACTCACTCGTGTAATCTAAATAACAAAGGCAAAGGACAGAACAGTTTGCACTCCAGAACTCTGGAAGAGCGAGTACTGCAAAGAAAACTTAACTGGAACTGCAAGTAAACTTTATTAAACTAGCCTCAGAAATTTTAAGGAAAAGTACAAAAAAGCTGGAAGGAAAGAGAAACTGACAAGGAATTCACTAATAAGACTTCACAAAACCCAAAGCTTTAAAAGCTGAAGGAAGAAATAGTCAACATTAAAAAAAATAAAAACCCCACAGAAAATGACATACACGGTTGAATTTTATCTTCAGATTATCTCGACATTTTTGACAGAAAAAGCTCATTTTTTCACATCAGTTGCTCCCAAACTCTTGCACCAAACCACCTCTAATTTTCATTAAGTTTCTAATTGAAAAAGTAATTGATTTCAGTCTCGGCACCACTTAACATGACTTTAACAACAGGTTGGAAATAACTATTGAAGACAAAGGAGTAGCCACCAACCTAACCTATCTGAAGGTTACTAAGCTGTGCAATACTATATTGGAAATGATTAAACAGGCAAAAACGTTACATTAGTGCAAGTACTCTAAGATATGTAGTAGACTAATGAAAAGCCAACAATGGACACTACTGATAAATGTTAACAGAAGGGTTTTTCAATAGACCAGGCATCATATTTTAAAAATTAAGTCTAGATTTATGTTTATATTGCAATATAAAGTAGAACTATATTAATGGATGCTTCTGATGACAGAGTCAGGACCATCAATAATTCAAATGAGAACCTTATTGTTACCAAGACAAAGCAAAACTACTAATTTAATAGAGAAAATGAACTTTACTATGATGGAATGTAAGACCATATAGTTAGGAATAAAAACTGGAGCTATACACTGGAAACAAGTAAGGGCAAGACAGATCCAATTATAAAAGCATCTTAGGATCACTACAAATTATCACAAGTAATCGTTATGCATGTAGTGAGAGGAGGAAAGAGAAATGTAATTCCCAAATATGCTGTATAAAACTATCAGGACTATTACATGTTATAGCAGAAAAGTAGTTACCCTTTAACATCAAAGTATAGGAAAACAGAGGCTGCATCCACTAGAAGCAACATGCACAGACGCTCACCCATGTTCCAACTCAACCAAGGGCACCTCTTTCCACAGTTTCCATTGCAATGTGGTTTTATAAGTTTTTTTCCCTCCCTTTCCCTACCCGGTTGGTCACAGTCGGCCTCATCCAGAGCAGACACAACCAACCTACTGCCACTAAAGCCACTCCACTGGCTTTTGAGCGGCCTTCTGATGACCTGGTGGCCCTGTAAGATGACAGCTATCACTAAAAGCATCCACTTCAACCACTCCACACCAAGTCCCAACTACAGCCTGGACATCAGAACAGACCTACAGGTGAATAGAATGCAAGATATGGGAGGAAGCACAGGGTGGGGGAATAGGAAGAAAAGAGTCGTGGTCTTCTCCTGATGTATAACGCACTATGTTTGTTTGAACAGATACAAAGACAGTGATAATTATGAACTAGCTCTAGCGGTTTATGAAGGAAGGGAACATGTGTGTGTGTTTCGAGAACGACGGGCAGTGTATTTCAGAGGATCAAAGCCAGAAGTCGAGCTCCATACACCGCAGTGGAGCACTGTATGCTTCTCGGGGCTATCCCAGGCAGATGTCCCATGTCGGACTACAGGACTGACATTCATGACTCCCCTCCCAACGCATTCACAGCCAACGCACAAGAAGTCTATGCTATCCCCTCTACACACGGGAAAAGCACTGCCTGACAGAAGCCTCTCCCACGGGGAGGGACAGAGGGAAGAGGGGACAGAAATCCCCCCTGCTCGCACCTCCAGTCCCACGGTTATCGCTTCCTTGGCCCAACTCTTTCTCCAGACGAACCTGGGAGGATGCACTCACCGCCCAGAGATGCGACACCGGCCCCTTAGCGACTGGAAAGCGCGGGCGGCAACTGCTCCCCAGTCCTTATCCGCTCCCGTCCTTCCCCTTCCCAGCGCCAGGCACAGCAGCCATGCTGGACAACGGGCGGCAAAACCCACCTCCGACTGACAGAACCACCGCGGTGGGGCGCGGGGCTCAGGGCCCGGCCCGGCGCTGCCCTGACACAGCCCGCCGGGGTGGGGGTCAGGCACTGCCGCTCCCCTGCGACCTCCCTCCCTGCTACCCCAGTCACTCCCCGTGGAGCAGAAGGGGACCCGGCCGCTCCTCGCCCTACCTCTCCTCAGCGGCAGTGGGGGCGTTAATTGCCCGCGAGCTCGCTCCGCGCCCGCCAACGTCCCCGAATCTACGCGGCGGGAGCGCGCGACGGAAGAGGGGCCGCGGGGCCCGGCGCCTGCGCGCTGTCACCGCCCTCACCCCCCCCGGCCTCCGCCCCGAGGGGGCCGCTTCCGTGCGCCCGCCATTTTCAGGAGGGCGGAGCCGCCCGCCGGGGCTGAGGAGCGGGCGGGCGAGGAGATCTCCTCCCCTTTTCCCTATCCGCGGGAGTTAACGGCTGGGCCTGCTCGGGTCTGCCCGAGTCTCTTGGGGCTCAAACCGGGATGTAAGTTGCTACAAAGCCCCCACCCCTGAAGCTGCAGTCGCTGAGGGAGGGGGTCTGGGCTTCAAGGCGCCTCGGCCCGGCGCGGGGGGGAGATGAGGGTAGCGGGAGAGCAGGCCCCCAGCCCCGAGTGTGGAGTTCGGCCTGCAGCCCTCCGAGGGGGCCGGCAGAGCCCGGCAGAGCCGCTGGTCCCGCAGCCGGGCAGGGGGGCGGCTGCCGCTTGCCGTGCGGTGCAGCGTTATCCCGAGCTCCCCTCAAGGCGGGAATTTTGAAATCCTTGTCTTCAAGATGGCTGGGCGGCTCCTGGTGGTTTCGTATTCAGGCAGCTGCTCGGTTCTGTTTGTATCTCGCGGGAGGGCAATAACCCGCAGGAGGCTGGGGCGGGCCCTGTAGGTGCTGGAGCTGCTGCGCTTCGGGTGCTCAGGTTCATGGGCAGAGCTGCCCCAGGTGCGGGGCTATCGCAGTACCATAGAGAGGGAGCGGGACACTTGTGAAAACGTGTCCTGGGCTTTCTTTTATTTCTCTTTTTTCCCTTCCCTCTCTTCTCCTTTTCTCCCTTTTTTTTTTTTTTTAAGTCTCGGGGCCAGTTACACGCTTGGCAGTCTTTGCGAGTTGCCTTGGGAATGAGCGAAAGCATATCTCTCTGAATTAACTTAAGCATTAAATCTCTTCTGTAGCTATTTTCAAGTACCTGTGTTACTTTTCTGGCTGTGTAGAAAACTTCATAGAGCAGAACATAGTCTTAAAGCACATTTTATAAAACCTGAAAGCTATATAGCTGTAGCACATACTTGCCCCATGAGAAATTGAGAATTTAATTTTTTTTTAAATTTATATTTCCTGTCAATGTTCTTATAGTAATAATTGATGTCTTCGGTGATTTTTAAGTATATGAAAAAAATGAGGTTCAGTCTCCCTTCTTTGGAAGTTACCATCTCTCTAGGCAGGTTCAAGAGTTGTGATGAGTGAAGCGCCTCAAAATCTCAGTAGACAGATCCCTCCTATTAAAAATAGTAGATCTGTTTATATATAGGATCCGGATCTAAATATTTTATAGAATACAGACAAACAAGCAAAGACTGATAGTTTGCACAGGCTTTCATAACTCAACTTTTGGTATATATTGAATGGGAGTAAGGGAAACTTCTGTCCTCAAATAACAATACTTTGTTACCTCATAATAAAAAAAAAGTGGGTTTTTTGTAGTTTTCACATTTTTAGTACATTTTTCTTGTAATCTTACAGAATGCTAAGTGTTTGTAGCATATTTGTCTTTCCTTTTAATGGTACTTTCCTGTAACTACCATGTGATATTCCATAACAATATTTAGAAAGCAACTACCTCAGTTTTTTAAAAAATTTGTATTGATGCAGACTGGCAGGAACCAAAATGATTACATCAAAAAGAGACACCTGCCTTTTTTTTGCTAGGTGTTCTCTTGTTAAACCCCACTGAAGCTGGATATCACACCTGTCTTTCAAGAAAGTTTCGGTGCCTTTTCTTCGCCTCCCCTGTGCATCACAGAAATTGATCATCCTGGTCTTTGAGAAATTGTGCCATACGTTTGCGTGCTTTATTTATGTTTTCGATGCATTTATGTGCTTGAGGTATAACAACAAGAAAAGCAATACATTATGCCCTGTGCACATACAGCTAAAATCAGCTTGAGTGATTGAAGTAGTTAAAGAAATGGATTAGAGAAATGTGATTTTTTGTTGAAAGTAAATTTTAACATGAGAACTTGATTTAAGAACAGCCTGGGATTCCTGCAGTGGCAGAAATGATGTGGTTTTGATTAGCTGCCTTGCTTTAAAACAGTTCTAGAGTATAAAACAACGCACCCTACAAACACAGATATGCTGTTCTGACAGACTGGTGGTGCTGAATTTAACGTGACCGTGCTCGCTGGAGGCCACGAGGTGGCATAGCTCCTCCTGTGTCTTAAGAAAATGCAGAGCACAGGTAGCCTGCTCATCCAGTCATGATTTATTCAGAGGAGGGTTTTATTTTAACCGAGTGTGCAGTAGTTTCAAACTCAAGATAAAAGAAACAGAAAATGTCCCAGATTTTATTTGATTTTTATCTTCTAATATTGAGGGAGAAAAGGGAAAAGTAGAGAAATAAATAGGAGGCAAGCAAACTTTGTACGTTAAGACAGTGCAGTAATGGATTGGTGTTCTGAGGAGGAAAAGCAGGGTATGTGTTAGAGGCCTTGTATAGAAGAGGCAAGGTATGAAAACCAGAAGAATAATGGAAAAGGAAATAAGGAAAGGAAGAAAATTAAATCCATAATGGGCTAGCTTGTAGAATAGGAAAATAAGAGACAAAAAAATATACTATATAACAGGTGTATGTTTTCAGCTGGTGTTCATTACAGGTAGCGCCGGTCACACCGTAGCAAAATTAAAATAGTAAAAATATACACACTGATGTGTTTCTGCAATTGCAGAGTTGTAAATGTCAACATGTTTGTTGGAAGGGACCTGATTTCTAGCTCCACCAGTATTGAATTAAATCAGTAAGGCAGTACACTGGCTGGATGTTGAATATCCCCAAGAATGGAGATTCTGCAACATCTGGGCAACCGGTGCTGCAGTCCCTGCTGTCTTTTTTTTTTCCTGAAGTCCAGCTTGAACTTGCCAAGTCAGAATCTGTGGCTGTTACATTACCGTGGAATACTAAGGAATGTTTAAGTTCTGACATTATTGTAACTATTCCTCAAGTAGCTTTAATCTACTTCTGTTTGAACAGGAACATTTTAATGTGAATCCTACCAGTTCAGATCAGGAAGTAATTCACCTGAGAGGTGTGGTTTTTCTTTTTTTTTAAATAAAGCTGGGATTAAGCCTATGTAAAGGACACATGAGACCTGCAAATGAATGATTTTTTTTTTTTTTTTTTTTTTCCCCAACTGAGGGGTATTTTTATTTATGTTCAGGCTATTTGCAATGAAAATGTACAGTCAAAAGAAGGTATTTGGTAATAAACCATCTGTGAACTGGAGTCACTACACGCTTAGAGGGCTTGATTGCAAGTGTTCTTGGCTTATAAAAGGAAAACTGATAATGACTAAATATTTATTTTCTGAACCTCACATTCATAATGTGTCATGCTTTGTGTTATATTCTGAAAGTATTTTATTTTGCTTGGTCTTCACAGCTAAAATCTTCACGCTGACAACAAAGAAGCTAGAACAATGGGAGTGACTAATCTGTGGCAAATCCTTGAACCTGTGAGGCAACCTGTCAACTTGAGCAGTCTCAATGGAAAAACACTTGCTGTTGATTTAAGTCTGTGGGTTTGTGAAGCACAGACCGTTAAAAAGATGATTGGAGTAGTTACCAAGCCACATCTGAGGTACGGTATCCATGTAAGTTGTTGTCACCACAAGCCTTGGAGCTGTATAATTTCGGTATAATACTTATTCTAAATTTAAGACTACCTCTAAAATTCATATGACTGTTAGTTAATTCCTATATCTTTCTGAGGCTGTGTGATGGAAGGTAGTATGAGAGTTTTAACTGTTTATCCCAGCAGTTTGGATGCTAGTCAATTCAGAGCATGCTGAGAGTTGTGCATGTTCTACCCTGATGTGGCTTATAAATAAAAATTCTAGTTAGACACCATGTTGAATTAAGTTTGTTTAATAATTCTTCAGGTTTATGAGCAACCTTGAAGAATAGGTATGTTTTTAATTTAAATGAATCACATGCTTATGGGACGAGCAATTATAAGCAGCTGTAACTTTAAAGCACTGTTTTCTGCAAATGGTGCAGGCACAAAATGAAAATATATATAAATTTTCATAAAAGATCTTTTATTGGTTACTAGCTGATGTTACTACTATATGAGTTACTAGGTGATGGTAGATGTTCCTGTGGCTTCTGATGAATTCAGCTGACATGGAATATCAGCACTTTCTGAGAATGATTTCTTAAAATGTTATGCTTATGATGCCAAATGGATAATTAACTAAGACTTGAAGCATGACCGAAGTCATTACTTCCCTCTGATAGGATGTCCTGTGCGCAGTGGAATGGAAGCATCAATCCAGATCTCTTACACAGTCTTTCCAAAGCAAGACAGAGATGAACAGATTTCTACCAAAAGAAAAAAAAATAGTGTTTTCAGGCAGTTGGAAATTAAATTGTTTTGCTAAGTATTTTAGAGAACCTTACTGTAAGTGATTGATTTTTATATCATTTGTGAAAATTGATCTAGCCTCTAAAGGCCAGCTTATCCTTTTTTACCAACAGCATATGTACAAAATTAAATCTAGAGTAATGGTCTTTCCATGTCAATTGAAGAGATACAAATGTTTGGTCTACACATCTTGAAATATTGATCCTGGGCTTACTGGAAAAAGCATATGCTGTCTCGTATTACTGCTTTCTTTACCAAATAGTTGTTATTGCTCCCTTGCAAAATTCTACCTGTCAATGATGCTGGTTTGCATATGAAATAAATTGGAATGGTCATGGTATCTGTGGGTCTGTCTAACACCACAGCATTCAGTCACTTACGAATCTGATGTACCTGTATTGATAGACCTAGGATTAAAATTTGGTCTAAAAGAATCAATGTGGATACTTGTTTGGAAGCAGACTTTAAAAGGCTTAATAAGAAAAATGCAATACTCAAATTTGCTTACGTCTTTACACCTAAAAAAGACCTTTCTTGTCCTTGCGTGGTATTTTGGGGAATTTTGTAAAGCTGCTACAAATTCGTAGTAAAGCAACTTCAACTAAAGACAGGGTTGTTAAAGGTTTGTTGGCTTGGGTGTGAGGGAATCACAAAAGTTGGAAAGAAAAATTGTTCGTGGGATAGGCTGAAGGATATAAGGAAAATGTCTGAAAAAAATTGGGCTTCTCTAATTCTGCAGCTTATGGAACACCTTGCTTTATTGCAGAAACCTATTTTTTCGGGTCTCGTTCTTTACCTCAATGGGAATTAAACTAGTGTTTGTCATGGAAGGAGAGGCCCCCAAATTGAAAGCAGACACTATGAGTAAAAGGAACGAAATGCGCTATGGACCTTCGAAGAACGTTGGATCTACAAGAACAGGGAGATCTTTATTTAAATCCATTTTAAAAGAGGTGAGTAATTGAGGGCTGTATTTTTAATGTAATAGGAAGAAATTTAAACAACTTCAAAGAATTGAACTTTGTGGTGTAGAGAACTGTTAACATTATTTTGAGCTTCAAGCAAATATATACCTTTGAAATTGGGCCTTACAGCATCTTTAACTGCTGTTGTAGAAGAGTTTAGAATAATTTTCTTGTTTGATGTGTTCAGGTGCATTTTGTGCTGTAGTGAGCCACGGTCATGATTCAATGTTTATTACAGAAATTTACCTTCCTTGTTCTTTAATGGTGTTAGTATTGGTATGTTTTTTCTAGATTGAAAACAGGAATGTGTTGTCTCCCTATGTACACTAGCTATAACTATTAAACCAGAATTTTACGAAATAGAATTTATAGACATTCATGATTTCAGCAAGTTGAACATATCAATTCATGTTTTATTCTTAAATTATAAAATAAATTATTTTCTCTGAAATTTGTGAGAAGTATATGTGAGTATATATCAATATGTCTTACTAGGCCAAGAGTACTGTACTTTCATGCGTGATATTCTCAGGGAGTCTGGTGTCTGTTGAAAGATGTCTGTGCTGGCCCAGTATTACTACTCAAGTAAACTGTGTTGCTTTACAAAGATAAATATTACTTTGTTACTCTTATTTTGAAAGCACCCTAAATATCTATTTAAAGTGTGAAGATTTTTGTGAAGGAGTAACCATTAATCATGCTGCGTTCAAGTCCTGCAACTAATACTCTGCTCTTAGTTGGAGATTTTTTTTTACTGTTACGGTAAACATTCAGCATTTGGTCTCTCTTTTTGGATTCCTTTGTTTAGTGTCTCGAGCTGCTGGAGTGTTTAGGTGTCCCGTGGGTTCAAGCAGCCGGGGAAGCGGAGGCAATGTGTGCCTACCTGAATGCAAAAGGACATGTTGATGGCTGCATTACCAATGATGGAGATGTCTTCTTGTATGGAGCTCAAACAGTTTACAGGAACTTTGCCATGAATGCTAAGGTAACATACCTCATCCCATTCTCTCCCTTTCTTTAGACTCTTCCCAAAAATGCAAATAGAAGGAAGGGACTTGAAACTCAGATTTTAGTTGGATATTATTTCATTTTCCCTCTAGTAGTTGGGTTTGTTTAAAATAATGCTTTTAAGACGGGAAAATTGTGTTTGATTTGCTAGCAGTACGTGTGGTGGATGTAAGAGCAAAACAGCTGAATTGAAGAGCACTCAGGGTATTACTGTCTGTGTTTGTAGTGTCCTGTGACGTGTAATATAAAGTTAAGTACCAAACTTTTTTTTTTCCCCCTTCTCCTTTCCTCCTCTGCAGTGGAGAATTTGAGTGAAATAATTGCTGCTTATAAATTTACTGCTAGGGCATGTAAGAGTGGCCAGCCTCCTGGGTCTAATAAGTGTTCACACACTTGCATTGTACAGGTTTGTTTTATTATGAGTATATTTATAATTAATACTATTAGTCTCCAATTGAACATGAATAGGGCAGGGTTTGTACATCTATATAATAATCAATAGTTGTGGTCATTCAAAAAAACCAGATCAATTTATGACCTTGGGCTGCAATGTTCACTTGTTGAGAATGCCTTTTACCAGCTTTGGAAAACTGCAATCCCAAATTTCCGAGTTTATACTTTCTTTATAAGTCAGAGAAAGGAATGCATGTGTTCTGTCTGGTGAATCTAACAAGAAAGTGGAGGACAATGATATTTGGGTTTGAATTTTAAAAAATGCTTATCTGAAAGAATTGATGAAAAAATACTTCAGTAATAGGACAAAATCAATAGAATAGAAAAAAAACCATTATGAACAATTAACTTTTTAAAAAAATAATTAAAGCCTATGGAAGATGACTTGCTTTGATGGCACTGTGTTTGGGTTTTGTCTTGACCTGGTTCTTTTCATTTTGTTGGCTTGTGTGGGGTTGCTTTCTGGGGGGGAGACAGCGTCCTATGTTACAATTCATGTTCATCTTGATTTCATGTTGGTGTGTTTGAGTCCCTCTACTCTTCAAAGTTTCAGGTGTTCCTTTAGCTTGTGTCTAATATCTAGGTAATATTTTGTGTCTATCTAGGTAATATTTTAAATATTTTTTCTTTTTGTATTTAAGTAGCACACTAAAATGTTGACATGGATTTTTAAAAACTGCAGTTCCCGAGATGACTTGCACAGCCACTATTACTAGATAATATTAATTTTGCCACACGTTTACTACCTGTAGAAAACAGTAAAAACACCATTTGGTGTGTTTTAGTTTCTCTCAACAGTTGATGCCCATACTTACAGCTTGAAATTTCAGAACTGTAGTTATTTATGTGGTGTCCATGCATTACATTATATATTTTAACTGCTTTTTTTTTTTTGATAGAATAGGGTGAATAGGGGTGGGTAAGCAATCATAATTAAATGTGACTCGGGGCAGTTCCTTCCCTGATGTTACAGAAATAAGATAAATATCTCTTGTAGGATCCGCTTCTTGACTGTTACACAATGTCCTCTATTAAAGAGAAGCTTGGTTGTGACAGAGAGTCTTTGATTGGTCTAGGGATTCTTCTGGGTTGTGATTATCTTCCAAAGGTAAGCAATGCAATTTATTTTTTTTATTAGGTACTTAGAGTTTATTGTTTTTCAAGGCAGTGTATTGAGGGAGACTTGTGCATTTTGACAAAAGGCCAGCCAATGGATGATGGGCCATCTTCACCAGAGGTACTGCCAAGGTCAGAAGGGCCTACCTCCCCCATATCACAACCACCTCCATGGAGAAGAAAAGACAGGTTATAGTTGTAGGCGGCTTGCTTGAGCAACCTGGTCTAGTGGGAGGTGTCCCTGCCCATGGCAGGGGGGATTGGAACTCAATGATCTTTATGGTCCCTTCCAACTCTAAAACCATTCTATGATTCTGTGTTCGAGCAGTCTCTGAAGAACAGCCACAAGCAGGTTTTATGCAGCTTGTGTGTTACACAGGTGGCACAGCTGTAATCTGTCACACTTCCTGACTTTAGAACTCGGTCAAAAATTATTTTTCTCAATATATTCTCAACATCTGGGATCGTTTTTTGTCAGTTGTCTGAGAATATTATGAAGGCAGTTTTTATTAAAATCTGAATACTCTGTTTGTCATTTAAATAATGTTCCATATTTCTGTCTCTGTAGGGTGTTCCAGGAGTTGGTAAAGAACAAGCTTTAAAGTTAATTGAGACTTTGCGAGGTCAAAACTTATTGCAAAGGTAAAGTGAAAACTTATATTGTATTTTGGAGTACTTTAAGTACTTTGATTTTATTCAAAGGCTTGCTGGTATGTACTTCAGGCTCCAAGGCAACGTTTGTAATATTTTAATTGGGAGGGAGGCAGGAATTACCACATTCCTTACTTCATATGTTCTGTGTTTTGCTAGGCAAGCTTCTTAATTGTTTTAAACATTAGCTGATTCCTAGCTCTTGAGCCAGCAGATGTATATTGAGAATTGGAAAGGAAGTCATAGGGACTGATTTTTAACTGGGTTCTGGATCAGGACATGAGCTACCAAATACTTTCAAAGTTTGTTATCATAATGTGTATGTCAATACTGAGAATCCAACAATCATACGATGTACTTTAAAAAAAAAATCTATTTCGTTAATTGGAAAACCCTTAGAAGCCTGAGAGGTATAAAAGAAGTATTTTTCAGTGATTTATTTTAAGTATGAAAGTTAATAATATTTCTTAATCTTTTTAATATCAACCTTTTAGGTTTGAGCAATGGAAAGAACAATTTCATTTTGATAATAATCCACCTTTGGTTGTTAAAAGAGTAACTCACTGTTCTGAGTGCCATCATCCAGGTCAGTGTGAAAAGCACTGGATTTTATTTTTAGCCTAAACATTTACATTCTGGGTGTGTGAGGTGGGGTGTGGTGGGTTTTTTGTTTGGTTGGGTTTGTGATTGTTCTTTTATGACTGGCACTAAAAATTGCAGTTCTTGTCATTCAGTTTCTGGACTTTCTTCACATTTACAGTATATAAATATTTTTGAGACTGGGGACTACCTTTCTTCAAATGTGAGACTAATTGATAGCAGATGGAATGTTAGCAGAATGCTGCTGTGTGATCCCAGATATTTGCCTTTTTAACATTCTCAATAAAATATGCGTGCTATAGTGACAGACAATTATTTCTTTAGTTGCCTGAATTGATCTTGCATCAAAAGGGCTGAATCCATTAGCATTGCTGGGTTTTACTGCAGGCTTTTTTTTTAAAGAGAAATTAATCTTAAGGAACCTCATATTGGTAGCCTCTTTCATCAGTGACCTCATTTAAACCCACACTTGGAGAAGGAAAAGCTTCTTTCAAGTATGCTACTTATAGATTTGTCAGGATGTTATGGACTACTTCTGTAGTTTTTTAGGTAATAAAGCATTTAGCATAACGTCTGAAACTGTTAGGGAAAAGTCTTAAAAAAAAAAAAAGCTTGCTTGTATTTGTCAGTTTTCACTATAAATATATAAATACGGCTGATGCACTCAGATCTGCTTACAGCTGCTTTTCATGTCAGATTGATGTGTGTTCTGAGCTTTGTGTTTGTGCTATTAACTTTGTATATCTGGGCATTTTGGGAACTTCTCCTCATGCTTTGTGCATCTGCTTCTGTAGGCTCTTACAAGGAACACGAGCGCAGTGGGTGCACGTTCTGTGAAAGCACTAGATCCTGCAAACCCAGTGACTCCAAATGCTGCTGCCCTTGTGAGTGGCATCAGTTGGAGCGAATGAGACAAGCGAGAGCAGTGGAGGACAGTATCAGAAAGTAGGAATGTCTTGAAAATTGAACTGCTTTTCCCTGCGTTTGTGTGCAGGGTGAGCGTTTAAATTCTGCATTTTTCCCACTTGCATTCAGTTCCTAACACGTTTGTTTTACCTGCAGAAAAGCCAACAGTTGTGAGGGCTTTCCATTCTCTGAGGTAACAAACAAGCTTATTTAAAGATAATTTTTTTTAATCAATTAATTGAAATTCCAGATTTCTGCCCTCTCTTAAACTGTCTCTTTTTTGTTTTATCTCAAGGTTATCCAAGAATTTCTTGTAAACAAGAATAAATTGATGAAGATAAAGGAATGCCAAAGGCCAAATTTATTGTCATTTCAGGTATATAATAAAATACTGGATATTCAGCTCTGTAGTTTTTTTATTTATTAGTAATGAATGCATCTGATAATTTTGATCTTCATTGGTAATTTTACTGAAAATAAGAATTAAAGAATCTGTCTACAGCTTCTTAATATACTTCATTTTTTTGACAGCCTTAAATTTAAAACTTAAAAAAAAATCAGTTGATGTAAAAATATATATAGAAAAGTGGAAAAAAGAGAACTCTTCAAAAAAAAAAAGTTACTTGCCATTGTTTTGTTTTTCATTGTCCAGTATTACTAGATTGGACTGCTGAGTGCTGCATAAACTCTGGAGAGTTTATAAAGCGTTCCATGGTTATCTGGCATAACATACATTTCAGGGATGGTTTAGTTTTTGTTTTCACCCACCTTTTATAAAGGTATTAAGAGATACAGGTCTTGTTTTTACTCATGCTTGTTTCGTCGTCATACTGACACAGTGCATATATGGTAACTTTTGCTGTGTTTTGGGTGACTGTTCCTTCCCTTGTCAGTGAGATACCATTAGGCATGACACTAATGTATAAAAGCATTCTAGATATTTTCAGTATTTAGTCCTCTGTCCCTATTACATGGCTGTCGAGGCATGATATCTAACAGAATAAGAAAGCTTTAAAGTTTGGGGTGTTTTTTTTATTGTTTTAATACTAACAGATCTTTGCTTCTGAGAAGATGGAATGGGACAAACATTATGCTTGTAAGAAACTGCTGACACTACTGACACATTATGATATGATCCAGAGAAAAGCTGGATTCATTGATTCAAAACAACTGCAGGCAATACGGTAATGCAGTTTGATTTCTTAATCTTAATATGTTTATGTCTGCTGCTGAATGAAAATTATAGGATTTTTCCTTTTTTACGGAAATAGTTTTCTTCCATCTCTGTTTCAAGCTTTGTGCTCATTTTGAAGAGAGGTAAAAAATCAGATCAGTACAGCAATTCTTATGCTACCACTGCAAAAAGTGATATATACAGTCGTTTCCTTTCATTCTAACTGACACCAGCTTTTTCCTAGGCTTACTTTCTGTTCCATTTCCCTGGATCTGCATGTGAAATTTAGCATTACAGGTTTGATCCTCTGCTCAGGTTCTTAGCAGAAGTTTGATTGACTTCTATGATTCAAAGTAAGAGCCTAGGCTTAGAAATGAGCATCTGCAGATTCAGTCATGGTCTCTGTTTTCTTTTGAGACCTACTGACTGTCGTTGGACAATGTGTCTGATGAAATCATTGGCTTACGGTTCTATTCGGCTGCCCCTTGTTCTCAAAACATTTTCATTCAGGAATGCTGCATTTAGGAATATAAAAATGGCCAAGTATCCTGTTACTAAAAGTTAATACGCAGGGGGAAAACCAGATAAGCATGTAACTGCTTTCCCTTAGAATATTTTCCCACCACCCAGACTGTGTTACCCGGTGGGTTTCTGAACCAGAATTAGTACCTCCTTCTGTCAGCCATCAGTGTGGTTTTTTTCAATGACCTGATCTTTCCTAAACTTATGTAAACTTTTAGAATCTACAGTGCCTGTTAACAAATCTGAACTTCACTGTGTGAAGGGAATTGTTACTTATTTGAACTTCAGTATCTGATGATTTTAATTTCCCAAACAAACCCAAATTCCCCTCCCTGAATTCTTGTATTGCAAGAACTTTACTAGTTTTCCCATGTTCCTTGATGCTGTTCAAGATTTTGTAGACCTTAACTTTGTGGGACAGAAGAACAGTCAGTAGCAGTGTGCTAATAGCTCTTCTGGGTTAATGTTATAATCTGTTAAACTATTATTTGCAGAGAAGCTGTTCCATTCAGTGTTACCTTTCAACAGAGTGGAGAGACTGGTTGCAGGCTGCTTTTTAAATGGGTTGGCTAGATAAATTACCAGCATTTACCTCGTTGAATGATTTTAATTGACATCCTGTGTTGATAACACTTTCTAGTGCTTCAAGAGTTTAAAAGGGAGATCGTGCATGCCCTAGATTTCTTTTGTTATCAAGTGCTTAAAAATGCAGTACTGATTTAGCATGAGCCTCTTCACTTGTAGGAACCTATAAAACTGGGGTATAGATAATGTTTTTAGAAAAATCTCATAAAGACTGATTGTCCCTGCTCGGTTCATGTTTTGTCTTCCTTCATGCTCTCATGCAAAAGATATAAATCACCCTGTCTGGTTGTTCAGAAAACTAACTTCTCGATGGCGTAGTTAAAGATAGAAAACTGATGTGTGTAGGAGTCTGTCTTAGGGCTGTCTGTTACAGAATAGTTTTTTGATTTCTTGTTACACTCCTGTAAGCAGTATCTTTTGGAAAAAGAAAAAGTTTTCATTATTCAAACCTAGACACAAAATTTTAATGTATAACTTGGAGTAGTATATTTTTTAAAAGATGTATTAATTTTACTATTACAAGAATATTTTGTTTCCTCTGAATCATTACAAATTAGAGTACTGAATTATTTTAGATAACTTAGATTTTTCATTTCCTCTTTAAATAAAATAACTTAATGGCCTTCTTTTTGTTCCTACAGGATAGCCAAGACACGTGTTAAAAATGGAATTCCTTGTTTTGAAATTGAGTGGCAAAAACCAGGTTGGTCTGGTTTCTATGTACATTATGGAACAAAACAGTTTATAGAAAAAGAGGAAAAGCATGCTTTAAAGAGGAAAAGAGTTTAGCGTTGTGAGGAAGTGAAACGGGGGTGAGGTTGGAAACTATTACCTGAAAACAATAGGAAAATGTGCATCAAATTTCACATATGCTGAAAGTAAAAGCAATGCTTAAAAAAAAAGTCTACCTAGAAAGCAATGGACTCAGACTTCAGGCATTTTTCTGGTACATGTTAATAAGACCTGTGCTTTGTATTTCATACCTTATTTCACTGTTCCTGAAGCTGTGACTGTTTACCAGCGAGGTATTTTTCTGTGCTGATAGATTTCTACCTTTAGTGTGCCTGTTTGAGCCAGGAGACTGGCAAAAAGAAAAAGACTTTACTTGTAGCTGAATCTCAAACACTTTACTATAGATCTTTTTATATACCTTCTTTGTACTCAGGTAAGTCTTTTATTCTTTGTTTTTCTTATTCCCTACTTTGAAATGTGTGTATATACGTGTCTAATACACACTCATTAATTTTTTAGAACATTATGTTGATGCAGAAGATGAGCCTGCAGGGTTGTTTGTCGTCACAGTAGAAGAGGAGTCTTTGTTTCAGGCTGCTTATCCTGATGTTGTTGCCCTTTATCAACTGGAGAAGTCAGAAGTTCTGAAGAAGAAACAGAAAAGTAAGTCCAAAAGCTTCTTTCTTACGCTCTTATGGGTCTTGCCAGAATACAAGAAGTAAAAGCAACAAACATTTCTTTCACTGTGAGCAATATCATGTTTTGTCAAGATCAAGGCATGATACCTTGCAGGGGCTGTGCTTTTCTCTTACCATTTTATACTTTAGCACTAGGAAATCTGAACTGTTGTTAATATGCCATTTTGTTTTGCCCTTTTTATTGTTTCTTCAGGCAGGAAAGACAGACCAAAAGAAAAGGAATTACCAGAGGTTTATGATGAAGTTATCGATCTTCTGTCTCACTTGAATTTAAAATCTAGATGTGGAATTCCTCCTGTGCCAGTCCCCATATCAGATACAAAAACTCCTGCAGAAGATCAGATCCACCAGAGAAGTACTGAGTCAAAAGTTCTGGTGTCAGCTGTGGCTCCCTGCAGAACTACTGTTCAAATGGCAGCAGCAGCAGCTGCTCGTCCTCCGACTGCATCCCCTCACTCCCTCTCGCAGAGAACCTTGGCTGACTCCTCTGTATTGCCAGCACAATTTACTGAAAATTCAGGGGTATCATCCCCTTCCTCTGCAACAGCTGATTTACAACTGAGCAGTATTGATTGGGCAGGAACCTCCTTCAGCGCTTCATCAGCCCACGAGGATGATCCAGCAGCTGACTGTATATACATAAAAACCTCGTATCCACTAGGTCATGAAACAGTAAGAAACAGCTCAGAATATTCTGATGCTGGGCAGTCTGATCAGCATCATTCTGCAAATGATTTGGTGTCTGATGATGCTGTGGGTCAAATGGAGAAGTGGTCTTTAAGTGAGCGAATACTTAAGAAGACTTCCATTCCGTCAAAGCCTTTGTTGTCTGAAGATGTAATGCAACTGGAGTCTTTGAAATGTTTTAAACAAACAAAAGAAACATTGAATCATGATAAATATATTATCTCTTCCTCATGTCAGTCAATTAAACTAATGCAGGAGAGTAAAAATGTGCTATCAGAAGACTATTCAAGGGAATCCAGCATGCACATTTATCAACATCAGTACAAAAAAGCTGACAGCCTGGCCGAAATGATGCAAAAAGACCATAATCTAAACAGTTCAACACCTCTCGCCCTCAGTGGGCAAACTACAGAGACTCTGCATCCTGGGTGTGAAATGCTTCCAGTGTCTCAAAAGCCAGCAGATGTTGTAACTGGCTGTCACGTTAAAAAACCGTGTACTCAAACTGCTTGGAAAACTTCTTTTAAAAGGAGTGTGTGTCAGAGCAGATGTTCTTCTAGTGAAGACAGTGATGATGACAATATGAATAAAAAACGTATTTATAAGCAGCAGAACAGTCAAGTGAACCCCGGTCAGTCTAAAAAACATCTCACAAAGGAAAGGAGCGATGCTGTTACCAGCAAAAGAACAAACAGTGACTCAGTCCTTATAATTAAAGAGAAGAAGAAAGAGACTAATTTAAAAAAAAATGGTGATAGTTTGTCATTGCAAGGATCTCCAAAACCACCCTCTGAAGGGGAAGTGAATTGTTTCCAAAGTCCAGAGCAAGCGCCTGAGAGGTCGGGTTCTGGTCCCACGCAGCAGACTGAAAGTGCTGTTCTGACTTATGCCTGGGCAGACAGTCCCCTTCCCCTGTCTGAAAGACTGAAAAGAAGAATGAAAATCAATTAGGTTCTCCATAAAATTATGATAACAATTAACCCTGAACCTTCTGTTCTTACAGAGCGCTTTCTCAAAACGTCTGCAGTGTGCTCTGTCAGTTCTAAGTGGACATAGTTTTGATGAATAAGAAGTGCTCTGGAAAACCTCATACTGGTGCTGAAGTTTGAAACAAATACTAGCACAAGTACTAAATAGCTGATTATAGGCAAGTGCTAGTTATTCTGGACTTGGTTACACTCTGAACTTGATACGTAAGCATCAGGGTATGGTGTACAAGGTAGCAAGAGGGTTTATTTGTGAAATGAGCAAGGGTTTTTTCCCCAGCCAATTGTGAGGATTTTGTGTACAGCTATTAGTCCTTCTGCTTATAAAAACAGACTTATTAAAATAGTGCCTGCACTGCAGTTGGATGGTCTTAGTAAGACAAAGTGATACGGCTCTTTCCACCCAAAAATTTTCCACTCTGCTCCACTAACTTAATTTTGCTAGTTTTAAAATGGGTTTTCAAATCATGGGATGCTGGATGTGTTGATTATCTCTGAAGAGCCCAATAGAGATATGCAGCAGATGTACCTTGCAGGGTAGCTAAATTTCAGTTTGCCCTGCCCTACAGTAAACTGTTGTTTTGAGTGTGTGCATCCTCCAAAGAATGCAGTAAGCCACGTAAGGATATTCTGGTTTTGTAGCTGTCGCATCTAGTATTTAGGGAAATCTGGTGGCTGTTTAGAGGTTGGGGCTTTTTTTTTTTTTCTTAAAAATATATATAATATATATAGATAATACAGTCTGTGATTAGCCAAAATGGCAATTCCTTATTTTCCTCTTTGGCCAGATGGAGAAAGTTTATTTGCAAATGAGACATGTATTATGGAAATGAGCAAAAAAAATCCAAACTATTGGAAACTTATTTTCAGTTTTGAAGATGGTCTCTCTTTCTGGAGGTTTTTAACCACCCAGCTGATGTGAGAGGGTGCTAGAAAAATAGAATTGCTGTGGAGAGTAAGAGTAGCAGTCACCTGGGGACCATAAATGGAGAGAGATTCCTTATGCAGTGGTCAGGAATTAAGAGATCAGACCCTTTTTTGTGGAAAAATATTTTTATTGGTTATGTATGAGTCTTTTCCTTGCTGCTGATTTTGAATACTGGATGTTGGAATTGAAGAGTTTGAATTTTCGTTAATTAAAAATGCTAATATAATGTAAAAGACCTCACTTTTGTTTGCTCCCAGTGTATGAGAATGTGCTCTTTTATTTGAGATGTCATAAAATTTGACACATAGTGTGTGGGGGGCTGTATTTTAGGGTTTTATTTATTATCAGAGGAAAGAGTGGCTTTTGAAGGGTTTTCTATTTGTTTTCCAAATCTGGCTGGATGACTGCCTTAATGAATGATTCGCTGAAAATACTGTGCCAGAATTATGATAAACTCATTTTTTTGCAGATGATGGAAACTAGAAATGAGATACTAAGAACTGCAGAAGGAGGGGGGGAAGATTATGTTGCTGATTATTGCTACAAGTACGTCTGGTTTCAGAAACACAGTTCAAGCCTGAAAAGCAGAAAAATATCTGGTTTTTTTCATTTGCACTGCATCTCAATTTTGCACAAGTTACCTACTACTGCTTTAGAAGCAGCAATAGATGTGAAAACAACCCTATAGGATGCCCTCTCTCGTTTAAGCTGTAACTGCTCATTGCAGCAGATAAAACAAGAAATTTATCCTTGGGGGTGACTGTTGCTTGAATTAAACTTGTTATTCATTACAGAAGGGAAATTACAGTTTTTAAAGTGTTTTGATTTCTTATCTTTCTGTAATTTACTCAGTCTAAGTTCTTTGGAACTGTTTTTACCCTGCCAAAGCTGGCTGTTTTGCAACCTCTCACACTCGTGAAGAAAACGGTTAAATAAATCGAGTGGGTGTAACACATAACTTACTTCTGCAGGAAATATTCCTAAAGATTATGTCAAACTGGCTGTAAGTGAACATGATACATCAGCCTGATGACCCTGAATATATTTTTATTTGTCATCTGTCCTGGTGAGCCCAAACAGGCTGTGTCAGGGTGCTTCAGCTGAAGTCATAAAGCGATACCTGCTGAGGGGATGGGGCAAGTAAAGGATGCATTGATTTTTCAAGTACTCTTCTAAAAGCTTTTCTGTAGAAGGACCAGCCCCAGTGCTTTACCTGGGCTGTCACACCTGGTGTGGGCACCCCTCCAGCGTGACTCATCCCTGACCTACAGTGTGGATCTATAGGTTCTGTCTTAGCAGTAGAAATATCATTATTTCCACTTACGAACAGTATTAAACATCTACTTAAATACAAATTTATTTAGCGTAGCTTAAGGAAAGGAAGCATTTATTTGGCATTCCTTGTGCCTGTAACTCACTATTTGAGCTTCATGGGGAATCAACCAGAAAGGAAAACGCATACTGTTTACATGGAATATATACATAGAAAGCTAAAAATACATAATGTAAAAAAAAAAACACATGCAACCCATGTCTTAATTTCTCTATCCCACTGTCAAGCTACACATGCTCTGATATTTTTTTATTTGAAGAGATTACTGAAATACTTGCCAACATGTATGACTGTGCTTAACAAAAGGAAAAACTCATTTCCATTGCATTTATCAATTTTTATTTTGATAGAAGTGATGAACTCGACAAATGTTTTGCTAGTTAACAGAGAAATTTCCTAATTTGAGAAGGGGGTTATTTAACGTTGAGGCTTTGCCAGGACTCGGTTCTGTGCTCTTACGTCAAGAAAGATACTGGGAAATGAAGTGGTGAAGGGGACGAATGGCAGCTGTTACTTGAGACACGATAAAGTCTTTTCATGTCTAAAAAGGTGTCAAACCCCGCGGAATGACATCAGCAGATAAAAGGAAACTGCGGTTAGAATATTATTGAGAGTTGTTATAAACCAAAGTGCTACCGCCAAAACAGTAAACTTAGCGCCAGATTTAGCGCTTTTTCCTCCAGGAAACAAAACACTTTAACTTTTTCAAGAAAAACAAAATTACGACGGGTGAGAGACCCGCTCTGCGCAGTTATCTTCCTCCTGTATCCTGCATCTTAGCTACTATCAGCACTGAACTTAATTTAGCTTAATAAGATTAATCACATCCCAAACTTTAAAAGATTTTTGAACCCAAGCCTTGTCTCCACCCCCACTCAGCTTTCCCTTGGTGGGGTTGGAGAGATTTTGTCACTTCAAAGACTGGGCACAGCTGGAAAAAGGGACCTACCTTTGGAAATTCTGCTCCATGAAAACAGCTCCAGAAACTAAAATTCCACCTGATGGATATTTAAAGTGAAATAGCTGCCTGAATAAAATACAAGGAAGGAAAAGAAGTTATTTTAAATGAAGAAGTATTTTAAATGCCAAGGTAGTGTAGAAGTAGCTGTACCTTAGAATTTGTGTTAATATCTGATTTAAAATGCACTTTGCTCTGCTGGAGCACCTCCCCATCCAAGCTCGAAGCCAAGTGAGTTGTCCTACCAAACGTTCTTGACAAAGGTTGGGTCTGTGGCAAGCTATGGACATTCTTTAGGACACAGCTGGAGGAACCATGAGCGTGGTCTGCTTTGACCAGCTTTGTGGGTGAACTTACTGGATGAACACTTAGTGCTGTCTTCTCCCTCTGTCCCACCATTGCAGTGCTGCCCTGGCAGTGGTACCACATAACAAAAAATGGACAGCCAAGACAGCACAAACCCGAGAAACCATCCAAGTTTTATCTGCAAACAAACAAAATTTGTGGTTTCAGTTCAGAATCACAGAATCATCTAGGCTGGAAGAGACCCTTGGGATCATCAAGTCCAACCATCTACCCTACTCTAAAGTTCTCTCTTCAGGTGGAATTGAGGCTGTCTTCCAGTCCAATGTGAATCAGTTGGTCTTGGAGCAGCTTTAGCCTTTAAGCCACTGTGGCTCACCCCACTGCAATATCTTGTAGACATTTTCTTTGCATCTTTCACAGTGATGAGCTAAATTTGTAGCTTGGTTTGCAGCTGGGTGGAAAAGAGCCCGCTGCTCCAGCTCAGATTCCCAAGAATCTGGAGTTGAATGAACAAAGGACTTGAGGAGTTACAGCCACGTGTACACGTACTCTGCAGGGTCTTTGCACAATTTTTCATCCCAACTAACATGTTGCTATTTTTGTAATTGCTGAATGGCCGCTTTACCAAATAAGCCCTGCTAGTTAGAAATGTGGGGGATGGTCTATTTTCTTCTAATTAGCTCTAGGGCTGATGTCTATATGACCTAGGAAGACACTGCTGGGATAGACAGCGTCTTTCATACAAGATGCTGCTGAAGGAGTGGGCAATTAGTAATTCACAGATGACTGTATGGCACTGGGACAGTTATATTAATTGCATTTTCCTATGCCTACATTGTTTATATGATTTAACTGAGGGTAATTCGTCTCTCGGGAAAGCTTCCTGAGCAGTACAGGCTGCCAGTCTCCTACATTCTTCTGAGTTTCTAGAAATCTCAAAGTTTCCTGAGAGCAAGTAACCAGAACTATTGTCTCTATTATTCTGTTGAATAGACCAGAAGAATTTGGGTTGTCTTTCTCATAGATGGTGTTAATAAATAGAAAATTTCAGATGTGTTCTTAGCCTAGATGGGTTCAAATCATCTATCTTCTGGGGGAGTAGCCTCACCACCCAGTTATGGGCACAGAATCAGAATGGTTTGGGTTGGAAGAGGCCTTAAAGATCATCTAGTTCCACCCCCCTGCCCTGGGCAGGGACACCTCCCACCAGACCAGGTTGCTCAGAGCACCGTCCAGCCTGGCCTTGAACCCCTCCAGGGATGGGGCAGCCACAGCTTCTCTGGGCAACCTGTTCTAGTGCCTCATTGCCCTCATAGTGAAAAATTTCTTCCTAATACCCAATAAATCTACCTTCTTCCAGTTTGAAGCCATTACCCCTTGTCCTATTACTACATGCCCACGTAAAAGCACAAGGAAGCTCCAGCTTTCTTGTAGGCCCCCTTCAGATACTGAGAGCCATTATGAGGTCTCCCTGGAGCCTTCCTTTCTCCAGGGTGAACAATCCCAACTCTGTCAGCCTGTCCTGATAGGAGAGGTGCTCCAGCTCCTCTGGGCCCACTCCAACGGGTCTGTGTCCTTCTTATGTTGGGGGCTCCAGCCTTGTGGAAAGATGCCTTGTCTGTGTTGTGTGAAAAGGAAGAGAGAAAGGCTTTCCATGCCTTCCTGATGGGAAGAAATCAGCAGTGGCTCTGATGGCAGCCAGCTGGGCAGTCAGTGCTGACGTGCTTCCCTGAGCTGTGACACGGGCTGTCTCTTGGCTACCAGGCAGACCCAAAAAGATGGAGGACATAAGGGGTATCAAAGACATGAGGAAGGTGCTGCTGATTTTATGGAGGAGTTCAGGAGATATAGCAGAGGAGCAAGAGATACTTGCATATATGCATAAGGCATATATTAATCCTGGATTCTTGAACTTTTGTGTTATAACTTTGGGAATAACCTCCTGGCCGAGCCCAAGACATGCAGTTCAGCAGCTCTGCCTTTGTACAAACCTGTGGCCAACTGCTGTCCTCCTTGTCTGGCTCCTACCATAATTTTAGTAAGGCACATACAGCCCAAAATCTGCTTCTCTATTACCTTTTTAATCTTTTACAGCATGATTTCAGATCGTGGTTTGCATTTATTTTGGACATCATGAGACGTGTGACATTTGCAGGACCTTCAAGTCCAAGTGGAAGTGATGGGATCACAGCCACATGTCTCCAAGCACGAATTTGTTCTGGTGTCTGCTGATCTGTTGTCAACAAAGAGGAAGTCACTCTGTTTTCTGTTTTTTTATTTTTTCTTTCCCCAGCAAAGCTCGCTTAACAAAACCTCTCTGCAGTTGTTCATTTAACAAAGCAGAGTGCTAGGATTTCCCCTTGTGAATAAAATTAAGTTCAGTGCACTTTTTTTTTTTAACTCTTGCTCTTCAAGTCAATCTAATATTCTACTACAACACTGAAACTGTCTGTAAGAAACCCCCAAACATAGTACCTTTTAAGATAGTAATTATGTTTTCAGAATAATGACAGCCAAAAAAATGGATGAGTGTGGCGTCTGTCTGGAGAACACACAGTTTAGGAAGTGCACGTTAAAAAATTCCCCTAAATGTAATTCAAGAAGCCAGTTGATAATTGTTAGTACATAAATCACAGTAGCTCATAGTTTGGCAATTAAAAGGAATGGCTTGTTGTAAGTACTCTTTTCATAACCTATTGTCACAGATCTCAGTTTAACTTTAACATTATACGATCACATATTTTATTTATGGATCATTTGAGGAATTTGTTATGCAGATATTCTGATTAGTGGGCTATTGGACCATTAGCCAAATAAATCTAAAGGTAATAAAACTCACAGGAAGATAAATGGCTTTCTTTTTCTTGTTCTTTTCAGCCAATTCAAGCTAATTTAAGCCTTTCACAGAATGGTGATAATGAAGGATTTGTTCTCAGCAGCGTTATGGCAGGTGATTTGCATTTGAAAGTTTGACACATTTATAGGCCTTTGATCTTTTCCCTCCAGTAGTTGTGCCCCTGTGGCCAGACACCTACATGCACTTTTTACCAGGTGGAAGATCTAGGAGCAAAAGCAGCTCTGAGAGTCACCCTGAAAATATAATTATACAATTTGTGTCAAGATAATATTCTATTACTGAATTTCAGCAGCCCTTATACAACGCAAGACAAAATCGATTTAAAATTCTTTTATTAGAGTTTGTTTTAAGCTAGAGAAATTCCTCATGGAAGATTTTAAAGGAATATGGAGCGTGAAGTAAAGCCCACTGAGCCGTAAAGATTGGCTTCTTCTGTAGGTTTGAATTTATTGTTGAAATGGAACTTCTCACTGTAGGACACTTCAAGAATTTTGGCACCCCTAG